TAAACTTCCCTCTGTAGCTACCCTGCTGGTGATAAACAGCTTTCTTTTTTACACACACACACACACACACACACACACACACACACACACACACACACACACACACACACACACACACACACACACACACACACACACAACTGAACACACCGTTTCAGAATTACCTCTAGATTCATACTTTCTCATACATGCACAGACAGACAGACAGAAAACAGACAGACAGACAGACAGACAGACAGACAGAACCGGTTCAAACTTCAAAATTGTAGCTACACAATCACACTTAGAAGAACCTGCAGGTACTCAAAAACTCAGATATACACACACAGATGCTCAGAACTGCAGTTGTCTTACACACACACACACACACACACACACACACACACAACATTCCTTGAAGTCCTGAGTCACCATACCTACACGACAGCTTTCACACACACAGAAACACAGATATCCACTGAAGCACAGCTCACAGCTGGGTTTTTAATACTTTAACACAGCTTTTCACACACACAGAAACACAATGAGTCAGCAGACACACAAAATGACAAGGAATGAATTTTAGAACGGCTTGGATTACTTTAGCCAATTTCAACGATGATTAACTCTCTGCACCATGAAATTTTATTTAACATCCCAGCGACAGTATGATTTTTAGCATCTATCTGTTCTTCAATCGACACCAGCACATGGACTTCATGCTGCGTGTATATGGGGTTCACAACGGTTTTAGGCCCACTACACATTCACCTGTCTTTTACCACCCACAGCAGCACTGTGGGCTGTGCCCGGCAGACACAGATGAATTACAACCCAGCAGGTCTACAGCCACGGTTCACGTTTCAGTGCTACCTCTACGGTTCACACGTGCAACCCTTAAATGGACACGAAAACGTCTTTTCGTGCGTGAATGCCTAGTCACCACACTCAGCTTAAAAAACACACTGCCAACAAGTTATATAGAAAAAGGGTGCAATTTAATTTAGGTACTTACTTGGCGTTCCTTGTCCTGGTAGAGCGAGAGCCATAGGCGGAAGTTCACCTGCGGAGCAGCCGGCCGGAGAGCAATTCAGCTGGCCGGACTTTAATGAGGAAGTGGCCATGCGGCTCCCCGAAGGCGATCTCCCACCAGAAGGCATCTGCTACCTTGCTCGAAAGACCATTAACTGTTAGAATTTTTATATGCGTCACCTGAAATAACACACCTTACATAATTAGAAATTGAGGAAAGAGGGAGAAGGCCCAAACTCCCTCCGGAGCTTTCCATCGTCTCTCTCCCATATTACAGCTCCTCCATTACCTTAAAGGACGACACACAGAGAGAGAGAGAGAGAGTAGATTGATTATTCGTAATTTACATGACCCTGAATCGATATGCGAGAGCTGGGCGCAGAAAGCCCGTCCATGGAGCCAAACGGAGCCTTACCCCCACTCAGCTCACAGACAAAGCCCTCAGCTCACCAGCTCTGCATTGCCCGCATTCTCCACCACATGATAGGTAATTTTAATCTATGTTCTCTAATTTAATTTAGCATTATTCACTATTATGTTGCATATTTTAATTTATACTATTGTTCTTATATTACCTTAAACTTATATTACCTTAAAGGAAGTCAGAACACACACACAGAGGGATTAGATTCTTAATTTGGTAAACTGTAACAAACCTTTAAACAGATAAACTCTGCAAAGTGTAAACTCTGCAGAGGGTGAGAGAATCAGACCATACAACACGGAAGCCATTTTCCTCTCACAAAGGAGCCCGAGCTCATGGAGGGGGTTTTATTGAATCCAAAATGTTCACACCCACAAATTCCACAATCACAAGAGAAGTTTCTAGATTTGAGCTAATTTTCCTACCTGACCAGTTTGCTTTTAACTAATGGAAAACACTCTGGTCTTAGAATGCACAGGACTAAGGAAAACTTCAGATACTGGATCAAAATGCCTAAAGCAGAAAGGAGTTTCCTAAAACACCCAAACGTAAAAACAAGTAAGGTCAGGTTTTTCCCCAACACATTTAACAAAAGATTTCACAACAAAGATGAATAAATAAAAATACCTAACAATACTAAATAAATAACACTAGTCTAACACACATAGTACTGCATTGGAACAATGTTATTATAAATAATTATCTCGCATTACACTACAGTGGACGATAACGCATGTCCTTCATGATGAAATATCCATCCATACACGACATTTGTCCCTGTCCCGGTCTTCCACATGAAATATATGAATGTTCATCTTACCCAGTAAAACCTGTTTGCTGCAAATCCAGAATACTGGAGGGCTGCTAGTCCATTTTAATAATCGCTGCAGTTCATCTCAGTCCTCAGTCTCCATCGAAGTAACTTGAAGAAATACGAGTTGAATTTACAACCTTGTCTATTAGTGAAGCTAGCCTCGCTGCAAATGATCACCTTTTTACTGTGAAATCAACTAAATAAAAGCGATAAAAGGCTACAAACTGTCTTATTTTCACTAACTTCACAGGAGTTCCAACATGTCTACACGTCTGCCAACCATCATGGCAAAAGGGGCGGTACCATGAGCGGCATGATGTCACATGAAATAGGTCAATACACACACCCACATTTTTGACCTTTTGCATGTGATGTCACGCCACTCATGGGACTGCCCTCTTAGGCACGACAGACAGCAGGAAGACTGTTCACACAAATGTAATCACCTGCAAAGCATCATAACAAGCAACTTTGTAGTCTTTCTAGCTTTTATTCTGCTGAAGTGACAGTAACCTGGTAATAGTGTGCTGCATGGTTGGCTGCACTAACAGACACAGGTCTAGATTCAACTAGTCTGGTTTTGATGCCTTTGATAGAGACCGAGGACACGAATAAATCACAGGAGCCAATCAGAATAGCAGTCGTCAAAGTATTATTGGATTTACAGAGAGCACCTTTGGCTAACATTAAAATATGTAATGAGAAAGACAGTGATTGGCTAAGATGGACCTGAAATGATAAATGCCGTGTTTACATATCTTTTTAGTATTGATACTCCGGTATTTCACTTTGGAGGATATACATTACCATTCACTATAGTGAATTACTATATGCCAATAATATAGTTCCAATAAATGATTACATGTGAAAATGACATCATTTATTTTGCATGATGAGCTTCAGCGTCTTGCCCCAGTAGCATCTAAACCCGATGACCCAGCCAGTGAAAACAAAAACAAATGGTAGGGATCCAGACTTTTAAAGTTGTTTTTAATCATCTCCGGTGTAAGGTGAACCCTGGTTGTCCCCTAATGTTATAAATCCAGCAGGGTGCATTCTGGCAAACTGGGCAATTTGTTTACATTGGTGTCCAACAGCAGGGAGAACGTGAGCTAATGTTCTTAAGCTAATTAACACTTAACTATTGTGAACACTAGTACTAAACCTTCCCACAAGTGAACTGGGCTAGAACAAGTAGAAGCCAGACTAAACTGGTAAAGAAAACAACTTCAGTCGTCACTTTGCCCATCGTTCAATACTTTCATAATTCACTGTTACCCTCTGCTATGATGGACCTATGAGATCAGGTGACATAAGTTCAAAGGGTCAGTGTGTGTGTGTGTGTGTGTGTGTGTGTGTGTACATATTCAAAATCTAGAGCTGCTGCTACTCTGAAGCTATGGAAGCTGATGAAATATGGTTAATAATAACAACAGCTAAGAAATCATTTGGTTAAACACAAACATCAATCTGGTCGGCCCGCCCACATGCAGCCAGGTTTTCTTCACACAGCCTTCTCAGGAACATGGGATCCTTCAAGCATGTAGCATAGTGTCCTCCTTAAAGGGATATTCCACCCAAAATTTTTATTTGTCTATTGATATATTTCTCAGATTTTTTTGTTTAATATTTCAATAAGTAGGAAAAAATCAATTTGTAACCAGCCCAGTCATTCTCCCAACCCGGCTGTACTCCTTTAGCTTAGCATAAAACACAGTAAGTGAATGGATCCAACTAGCATTGTGAGTAAAACATCCTTAAAATTACTATTTAGCGATCCCAAATCTGCTTGGTGACCTAAATAATCAGACTGACTGCAAGTGAAATAATTAGTAACATAAATGAATAACTGGCGTCATTTTAGACTTGGGCCTACAAAGCACAGCTATAAGCCTCCGCTTACTTAAAATGTCGTAATTCATCCCAAAACCATAGCCATTTGTCCATCTCCAGGTTAAAACTCTGCTCTAAATTGATTCTGAATCTGCCACAGCTGATGGCTAAAAGGTACAAGGTGACGTTAAATGGTAGAACTGCACTGAACTCCAGCCGAGTCACGACCACACTTCCACTCAAAATTCATTCAATTAAGTTTATTTACATAGTGGCAACTCACGACAAGAGTCATCTCACAAGTCGATATGAAAACGTTACAGCTCAGAGCCGCTTGCCTCCATAAAAGAAACATTCTCCTCCCTTTCTTCTAGTGATCTAGGTGGAGTGGAAACCCTCCAGCCTGCTGCAGTTTCTATGTTTGCTCGTTCTACTGAGCAGTGAGTCTGTTATGTATGTGGGTGCATGTGCAAGTCTGCACAACTAATTTTTCTGAGAAACTCTGATAGAGTTCATTCAGGCCCATTGAAAAATCACAATATCAGACCCGATTTCCAATCACATGATCAGATCGGAGCATCTCTAGATACACTTAAGCACCTCTACCTGCTCTTGACTGAAAGAAAAGCCCAAGTCAAAGACGTTTGGTCCTAGAAAATGGCGACCAACGTTTAGCGCTTTCTTGTTTCGTCTGGCAATGCAGGTTCCACATCTGCCAGACTTGGCCTGGGAATGATGGCCAATGGGAGGGGCAAGAGTGACCGTGTTTGTGTTACCTTGTTTTGCACATCTGCTATCGGTGTCTCCCTGATTACCTGTTGCTACATCAGCAGACACTCTTCAGACAACAGCTGTGCTTTTAACCTCTGTAGAAAACCTGGAAAAACATCCATCATACATTTAACATGTTTTACTCACCAGTCACCACAGGATACACAGGAAATGTTCTGAGAACAGAAACCCAACAATTAGTAGTCTGGAAAGTTCTGGCTTCTCCATGTAAACACCAACCAGTCCATCACTGAGACAGAGACAGACAGATGTGTGAGTCTGCATTTATTTTCTATGCAATAAAAATAAATGCAGACAGCTCCAAGTTTCACACAGGTGATATGTTTTACTCACCTGTAAGCACAGAAGCAGGAATCACGATCTTTCTGAGGAACAGAGAAAATAATGAGTCTCCAGTATAATTCTGTCTTCAACATATAAAACATGCTTTACGTCCAAATGTAAATTATCACCTAGAGATCAAACAGACATTAAACGTTTCTTACACAGGAAACATTTCATTTGAACAATGAATTAAACTCAGTGCACTGATGAGTAGATTCAATTAAATCACATCTGATCAACATGGCTGGAGTTATTGAATCAGCAATTGTAACCGGGCTTAGCCACACTGAATCACCCTAATCACGATCTCTGCGTTGTGGAAAAGACGAATGACTCCAAGGTTCGGATTCAACCCAACTGGTGGCACATTTATTCTTCCTCCATTTCAGCTCTGCACAGAATGGAATAGAACAGTTCAGCAGTAGTGACAAACATCCAACCGATCTCGGCTCATCTTCCTCCATTACAGCTCTGAGCGAAGGGAAGAAAGGAAGTGATGTCACGGAATGCGACAGCAAAAATAAAAGCATCAAACTAAATTCCCTGAAAATATCACGATATGCCCTTAAAATAAAGATCTCACAAAGAGAACGAGGAACAGGTGAAAAAATAAAATTATTTAGAGTAAAGAAACAAAAGAAAACCCTAGATTACCAAATAAATAGAATAAATTGAGGGATTTTGGGGGAATGCATTATATATTTCTTTTCTTCCATGCTACACAATCACCCAATTACTGATGAGACAATAAACTCAAGGCTACATTAAGGCCACAAAGAATAAACGTGATGGATTTTCCCCCTTCAGCCACCAGGTGTGCTTAACTTACCTGCTGATGCACCAAACCACGCTCAAAGCTCCCAGTCTAAAAAAGAAAACAAAAACATATTCAATTCAATTTTCAATTCAAGTTTATTTATATAGCGCCAAATCACAAGAGTCGTCTCAAGGCACTTCACATAATAAACATTCCAATTCACAGTTCATTAAGCCAATCAGAAATAATGTGTCCTATATAAGGAACCCAGCAAAATGCATCAAGTCACTGACTAGTGTTAGTGACTATACAGCAGGGGTGTCAAACTCAAACTCACACGGGGTCGAAATGAAACTCTGGGACGGAGTCGAGGGCCAAACTTAATATTTTTGAAAAAGTGATGGCAAATTTGCACATTTTATTTATCAACATATATGCAATTTTGAACCTTTAAATTTGGAAACAAACGTATTTCTGCATTAACACTGAATGTGGAATAACCAAATTACACACGAGCAAGTCAGTTTTAAATAAAAGGCATCAGTGGTATTCATTACTTGTGGTATAATCAGCATTTTTAAAATCTATTCAGGATTTATGTTTTCTGCAGCCTTTCCACTTCCTGTTTACTGTAGGTTAAATCTTTGCTCACGGGCCAACAACAAAATAAAAATATCATTTTATCTTAAATGAAAATGCAACATCTCACCTGTTAACTTTCATGTTTTGGAGCAGAAAAAGAGCATAAAACCAACATATTTAAAGCTCAGTTTGCTCCACTGGTTTACTGTGATGCTCACCTGTTCCAGCCAGATACCTGCATCATGGGGTTGATCTGAGCTGAGGAGGAGACTCCTGTTGTTTTGTTCATCTTCATCATAATAATGACAACATTAGATGACAACAGGTGCTCACATAGGTTTGTGCTGATGAACATGTCTGAGCAGCTTGACCACGTTGTTGTGTGTCGGGGAGGAAACACAATGACAGAGTCATGCTGGTTTGAGCGTGTCGCTGCTCGCTGGAGTTATATCAGCTCTGTCTGGACGTTAGTTGGAAAACTTTCTCTGTCAGTCGTGAACACATTACTGAGCGGCTAGAATCTCCGTTTCTGGGCTTCAACGTCAGAAAATAGCTGAGTGAACTCGGCGCTGAGTGAGAGGAGTGTAGTTTGTCCGAGACAGCGGAGCTGCAGAAACCGGCAGCAGGCGCTGGAAAAAACACAAAGGAGGGGGCGCGTCAGCTCCGCACTGACGCCGTAAGGCATCATGGGAGTTGAAGTCTTTGCTGTAAAATCGGCCAGCGGACAAGTTTTAATATATTTTTGATATTTATCTCGCGGGCCACATAAAAATGCTCCGCAGGCCAGATGACTCTGACATATGTGCTTTACAGCATTCCTCATACTAAGCAAGCATGCAGCGACAGTGGAGAGGAAACCTCCCTTTTAACAGGAAGAAACCTCCAGAGAATCCTGGCTCAGTATAAGCAGCCATCCTCCACGACTCACTGGGGATCGAGAAGACAGAGCAGGCACACACACACACACACACACACACACACACACACACACACACACACACACCACACACACACACACACAATAATGTGTCTATAGGTATATTGTGATGTCTTAGTAAATATTCTATTTGGTGAAAGATAAACTTTATTGTATTTATCCTAGTGGATCTATAATTAAACGGATAAACCAGTAGTAGCACATTCTATGTCAAGGAAAGCAAAAAGTTATTATCAGGAGAGGGAGAATGTTTAAGTGGTTAGCAGCAGTGTGCTAGACGATGGCCCCCTCCATGAGGCCACCACAGCTCAGCAGAACGTCGTTGTAGCTTCTTCTGGGGAGAAAAACACTTAGAGAGAAAATAAAGTTAACAGCTGAAATTGCAGAAAGTAATAAAGTTAAAGAGCAGATAGTAGAAGAAAGTAGTAGAGTGTGGAAAGTGGTCAGTGTGTCCTCCAGCAGTCTAAGCCTATAGCAGCATAACTACAGAGAAAACTCTGGATAGTCTATCCCATTTAGATGTAGGCATGTTGGAGGCAGGGCAAGGGAGAGTCGTCTTTACCGACTGTACACTCCACCTCCCTGTACTCCCCCACTTGTCCAGATTTAGGCTAACATCAGATTTTAACCATAGGCCCTATCTAATAAAAATGTTTTAAGCCTATTCTTAAAAGTAGACAAAGTGTCTGCCTCGGACTAAAGCTGGGAGCTGGTTCCACAGGAGAGGAGCCTGATAACTAAAAGATCTGCCTCCCATCCTAATTTTAGATATTCTGGGAACCACCAGTAGAGCTGCAGTCTGAGAGCAAAGTGCTCGGTTAGGAACTTATGGAACAATCAGGTCACTGATGTATGATGGAGCTTGATTATTAAGAGCTTTATATGTGAGAAGAAGGATCTTAAAATCTATTCTGAATTTAACAGGTAGCCAATGTAGGGAAGCTAAGACAGGAGAGATATGATCTCTCTTTTTAATTCTCATCAGAACTCTAGCTGCAGCATTTTGGACAAGCTGAAGACTTTTAACTACATTCTGTGGACTTCCTGAGAGTAATGGATTACAGTAATCCAGTCTTGATGTAATAAATGTGTAGCGTTGTGGTTTTATGCTCTTTTATGAAAGAGGAACCATGCTACGTATTAATTCAGAATATAAATTTTTAATAAATCAATAACCAAATTTTATATTGTTAAGAAGACTCAAAGGTTGTTTTCATCGATAAACTGACGATAATATCTGTGTGTCTGTGTTTCAGTTCAATGAGGAAACCAGTTTGACAATTAAAAGTTTTAATTCTTCAAATTAAACTAATGATTTTGAAAATTGACAAACAGGAAATAACAATCAACATTGGCAACTTTGTGGGACAATCTTTAACAGTTGATATGCTGTTCTTGCTCAAATAGACCTTCTGTTGAATTTATGAAGATTGAGAATGTCGTGACATGAATGCGTGTGTGAGTCTGATTTTGCTTCAGGAAGAAACAGGTGTCTGAGTGAAGTGATGGTTTGGATAAACTTAGGTCTTATCAGAGAACTGCATCAAACGCTAAAAACCGTGCTCTGTCTCACCGAACTCTTGTGGACCCTCTTTCGGATCCGGGCCGTGGAGGATGTTGTGGTTCATCCAGATGACACCGGCGGCTGACAGGAGACGTAGGTGTCGGACGGAACCGGTCCAGAGTTGCCCTCGGTACACGTGGACGGTAGAGCGTTTTGTCGATGCGCTTTCTTAAGTTAAATCACTCAGAAATCAAAAGACTCGGTAATGAGTCTGCGTTAGAAGTCGCGATTCAGCTATTCTGCCTGGCTTGGCAGAAACAGCGTGAGAGAGGGGGGGGGGGGGGGGGGATTGAGCCAATGGGCTCCGTGCCCCCGTTAGCGGTTGTTCACACGTCCTCTCTCTTTCGTTGTCAAGCACGAACTGCACTCATACGACTGAAACTTACCAAAAACCTTTCTCTTCTCAAAGCAAACGTGTGCGTCAGCAAATGTGTTTTGGAGTTTACTGTGAGCAGATGTGTGTGGGTGTGTGTGCTTGAGTGTGTGTGAAGGTCAGCAACAAACACTCTCAACATTATCTAATTATGGTGTAATGTGAGGAAATATGGGAAGGATGCTTATGAGTACGGGTCCTCGCCGGTCTAGCAAGGCCGGGTCCTTGCTAGACCGCTAAAACCGGAAGTCAGCGGCTCTGAATTCGGACAGTCTAGCCTTCACCTCTACGGTGGCCCGTAGGTCCCGTCACAGCCGCGGCGGCAGCTACACGCAAAGGAAAAATGCTAAAGCTAGCGAAAATGGAGCAGGAATATTAAGGAGCTAGAGCAGCTTCACGTCCATCAGCAGCGTTTGTTCACAAACGTTTTCAGGTAAAGTAACTTTGTTTATTCTAGAAGCCTTCAGGACTTACATGTTAACTTTAGATGGCTTCATGTATGTTTTAAGCTACAGAATGAACTTGTTAAACGTACACAACACATTTCTACAGAGTATTATCATGTAGGTAATTCATATAAACCAAATGCATTATAAATGTTGAATGCAGTAGGATGTTTTCTAATTTTATTTGGACCTTAGAATTTCTTATTTAGCATCAAATGAGGATAAAACGTTTTAAAAAACAGGCTTTTTAATAAAATAGCATTGAAGTGTTTTCAGTGTGCATTTGTTTATTCAACTTAAGCCTAATAATGATTAGCTCTGTCTTAAAAATGTAAATTCTCTGTAGTTTTCCCTGCTGCTTTTCTTTAAACTGAACAGAACCAGTGTACTGCAGGTTGCTTTGTTTCACATTTTTCTATAAAAAACAAACAAATTCTTATTTAATCTATTACAAGTCAGCATGCACTGTGCTGCACATCTGCATCGGTGCTGGTGAAGTTGTGGGTCTGGAGGATGAGCGTGAGGAAGATGTGTGTGGAGGAGGTCAGTGGTGCTCTGTCCTGCAGGAGGTACCAGCAGACCACCACTTCTGTTAACAGGCAAGTCATTTATGTAGGAACCTCTATTAAAAACAACACTGTGGTTTTATTTGCTGAAGAGTCACAATTGTTATACCAGTGGATCCATAAACCATCTCCTCTCATATTTCTGAATACATCTTAGAGATGCAACAGCCGTCGTCTGAGCCAGCCCAGCAGTCCCTGTAGATGGACGATGGAGTGGACAGTGAGAGGAAGCGTCCCAAAGCTCTCTCTGCAGACCGTCCTGTATGATGTTCCTCTGGCCAGAAACGTCCAGCCACGGGTCTGCTCCAGCCCTCCATCCACGTCTGGATCCTCCTGCAGCAGATCCAGCTGCACTGTTAAAGACTTCCTGCTCACTCAGTTTAAATAAATGATCCAGGAAGAGTCACTCAGGTTAATCCTGCTTTAACCGTACATAACTGGTCCATACTGGTTTTGATCTGTAAATAAGTGTAACCTATTATAAATAATCTT